TACCAATTACTCGCTATTGTCACAATGAAATTCCTCCATCTATACGATCAGTATCCAATAGACTGCTTGTGAAATTTCATTCCAATTCTGCAGTAAATGGCAATGGTTTCTCTGCTTCCTGGGAAGCTGGTAAGAGTCACCCTGATTTGCATGATTTAAATGATAAAGTATGATTTTTAGTGCTGCATTTGTTTCTTGCTTAAAGACATACAAAACATCTTAGAACTCCTCTTAGCCAAAAGAAAAAAATCTTGGAAATTTTAGCAACCACCAAGGTCTTTGCTATCCAAAACAAATAAACTTTGAGTAAAAATACCTTATGAAAAAGGACTGAAATTTCCAGGAAAAATTAGTTTTTGCTGTATTAGATCATTACTTAATGTTTGTCCAGAAATGAATTCCTCTCTTAGCTTTTAACAGCATCATGATGTGTGATCTTTCTTCAAAGTCTTGTCTTGGTTCATGGGAGCTGTGTATAAAAACATAAATGAAGTAGTTTTTTTTTTGCATTCTTTCATTGTTTTGACTGAAAATCTTGTGTTTGCTAAAAATGTCCATACTGAAACAAAATTTGAAGCTGCTTTGAGCCAAGTCTGATATGAAGGAAGAGATAAATCCACTTTTTGATTATTTTTTATCTTTACATTTGACTGCTTCACATGTACTTAATCACCTTGCCTGAATGATGAACTTTGAATATTGTAGTCCTACCAGATTAGAGAACAGCATGTCTGTCATGCATTAATTTCTGAATGCGCTTCATTTTTCAACAGCATGATATTTTTCAATTTCAAAAGTTTTACCACCACATATTAACTGATGGAGATTTGAAGCTTGGAGACAGGCCAGCCTCTCCATTTTCAAATCTCAATACATGCCTACTGGTTGAAATACAGATGACAGGATACATATTTGTGATTGGTGCTGCACACTTCAACCAAATTTGCTGTCGAATAATCTTGCACATATGGAGATTTGAAATTGAAGAAGCTGCCATACCTATGACCTGTAGCTCATGCTCTGCTCATGCTTGAATACACTTTTGAGTGATACATTTATATCTAAGCTTGAAATACTAAAATAAGGCTCATCTAGTACTAATTTGTGGTACCCAAAAAAATTTGTGCTATCAGCATAATCAAAATTTTGAACAAAATCATTCCTTTGGCAAAACAAGAATACATAATATTAATTTTGTTTTGCCAAAAGAAGGTCTTTTACTAAGCAAAATTCTACAAAACAATATATGATAAAAATGGGTAAGTGGGAGTCCACTTGAAGACTTCAAAGAGGTACCATGAGCCCTGGTTGTGAACCACATTTCCACTAACCCTTCCTGTAGGTTCTCGACTACTCCAGCAGCGGGAATTGGGTGTCACTAGGACGCTATTGTCACAATGAGGCTCCAGCCCAGCACAAGTCCACTGGCACCAAATTGAGGGTAAAGTTCAGATCTGACCCCTGGACCAACGGGAACGGATTCTCTGCCAACTGGACCTCAGGTAGCATTGCCAGTTGGGTCCTGAAGGAGTGAAGTTATCGAAAAGTATTTACCCATGAAATAGTAACTGGAAGAAGATTGAATGTCCAGTGGGATGTTTCCATGATTTAGCTAGGCTTTTAACAACTAAAACTTTTCATCTATCTTGATAGAGAAAATAGAACAGATGTTTATTTTTACTTACTCTGGATTGAGAGTTATAGTCTCCTCCTTAGTGTTTAGAATATCTTTTGTGAGTTTGTGCTTTGTTTGAAAATATCTCTTATAACCATGCACATTGAAAGCATGAGAATGCCTGAGTTTGTACATTTGCTCGAGCATGTACAGGGTAGATGCTTACAGTATTAACGTCACTGTTATATCATAACCCTGCATTGAAACTGTAAATTGGCCCTATTTTTTATAAGGGTGTGATCTTCCATCAGTTAAATTTATTTTCATGAATTTCTGTCAGATTCATAAGAGACTGGATTTTATGGCTTCTATTTCTATTTAAATTTGAAGTAAAAAGTAATAACTGTAAATTATAATCTTTGTACATATGTCATTTGATATTTTCTATTAAATCTCCATGCTATCATCTACAGAGCAGGGTAAATTATGATCTGTTGAAAGTAATAACTATAAATGATAATCTTTGCACATATGTCATTTAATATTTTCTATTAAATTTCCATGCCATCATCTACAGAGCAGGGTAAACTATGATCTGTTGAAGTATATTACAGATGTTGCATTACTTACATGTATCAATATTATTCTGTATTATTCTGTGTGTAGGTTGTGGCGCCCTCTTTACTCAGGACACTGGCATCATTCTTTCTCCTGGTTTCCCTGGCAACTATGAGAACAATCTTACATGTAACTACACCATTATGGTGGACCCACAGAAGTTTGTGCTGCTGACTTTTGATGAAGAAAACTTCAATATTGAAGGTTTGTGTTGACTTTAGATACATATTGTTCCAATGTGAAAAGATTTGCCATTTGTGGATTGTTATTCTTAATATATGTTATTTATGATAAATTCACCACAAGTTCTGCCTTTCACAGCTGTACAAGACAGATAGTTTCCAAAGTCTGCACCAATAGCTTAATATCCATTTGAGATCATTAAAATAACTTTAAACAAACAAAAAAAAAAAATTTGCCTGTCTGTGTGAACAACCAAAAATTTGTCTAAAATTATTCATTATTATCTGAGTTCTTTTCTCATAATACAATGTAACGTTGACAGCAGCATAAGGCTAGCTGTAGCAATTCTGTGGAATTGTTTCCAAGTTACATTGTAGCCAATTCAGTCAATATTTAGTCACCTAAATGATGTGTTTTATTGCTAGGTGGCACAGGTTGTCCGTATGATTATGTAGCTGCCTACACTGGAAATGGCTCAGACTCCAACCTCCTTGGGAAATTCTGCGGAAGGACTGCCCCGGCTCCTGTCTCATCCCTGGGGGTCATGTTTATCCAGTTTGTCACCGACAGCTCCATAGTGGCGCGAGGGTACAGAGCTACTTATTCAGCAATGGGTGAGTGGGGAAATGATGAGCAATGTGAATAAGCCCCATGAAATACCTTTTTTTGTGGAAGATTTTCTTGAATAGGCTTCATTTTCTTCAGAAGGTTTTCTTGAAAATTCTTCATTTTCTGTTGTTTTTTTTTTTTTTTCGGAAGAGATGACTTTTCCCATTTCCACAAAATGTAAAATCGTTATTTTGCTATTGATTTTATTGATTATGTTCATTTTTGGATTAATATACATGTTCTTCCTCAGAGTGACAATCCTCCTCATTTTAAAACATGTATAGATTACTAAAACTTGTTTTTCCTCCATCCAACGATCTCTGTCAATATTTTCCAGAATGTGGTGGTGTATATACCGCCCCCCAGGGAACGATAAGAACCCCCCAACACCCTGTGAACTATCATCACAATGCCAACTGTACCTGGTCCATCACCGTACAGCCTGATAGAGTGGTAGAACTGAAGTAAGTGGACTGGGATCTCCTTATAGCTGTGTATAAACACTACATCATTTACTATTGCTACAGTACCTTATGTACATTCCATTGTATTGTATTGTACAGCCTTGTGAATTTGTACATTAAAGAAGTAATACTGAAATATATCTAAGCCATTTCTCTCTCCTGTAGGAGACACAACCCTGATGAAATATGCACTTATATTGTATTACATATTTTGATCACCTCATTTTTTTGCCCAAATGTCCTACTTCTCACAAAACCAATTTTTTCAATGCATCAATGCATAAATAACAGAAGTTTATGGCTAAGAGATTTTTTTCATCCAGATTCAACATCTTTGACATCGAGACTCACTCTAGCTGCAACTACGACTACGTAGATGTGCGAGACGGCAACAGCTTGACATCTCCTCTGATTGGACGATTCTGTAGTAATGTGATCCCTGAGCCAGTGCGGACAACTGGGAATACCATGACTGTCAACTTTGTCTCTGACGCCTCCATCAATGGCGCAGGCTTCACTGCTTCCTACAGGACAACTTTTGGTAGGTTGGCATATCAAAATATTTCCTTATTATAACCTGTGTTATTTTATCTTTTATAATAGATTTTAAGTCATTTTCTCTTTAAAATATATTGTAAGCAGCAAGTTCTTGCAATATTCATTGTGCCAGTGTTGTTTCCCCTATAATTTGTTAGGTATCTGATCACAGTTAAAACAAATATGGTATTTAATAATATTTTTAGTGCATGTCCTAAGACATCACAGTTTCTTCAATCTTAGATATTCAGGCTATGCAATAAAGGTTCACAAATGTAGATTTGGGTCATTTGATGTCAGTTAGTTTGGGCTGAACTAGCATGATAATAATTTGTAAATGCTGTCATTGCCACCAACGTTACCATTCCCAGGTGTCCCTCTTTGCGGTGGCTTCCTGAATGGCACCCAGGGAAGATTCGGCTCCTTTGACATTGACGGGGACGGACTGTACGAGGATAACTTGAACTGTGTCTGGCAGATTGTGGGTCAGGACAACAAGGTGTTGAATCTGACCTTTGAACCCATGGACATTGAAGCAGACAACACCTGTGACTATGATTACTTAGAGGTGGGTAGTGGAGGAAAATAGCTTGGTATTGTGAGAACTTAGAGTAACAGTGTAAAATAAAGCTTGATATTATGATAACACTAAGTAACAGTGTGAAAATGGTTTGATATTGTGAAGGAATACTAATGGTATGGAAGAAAATGGTGTGGGATTGTGACAGCTGTTTTATTTTCAGTTTTATATTTGTGATATCAAGTAGACAATCTCAATTTATTTTTCGGTATTTTGCATTTGTATTTATTTGTAATATAGAAAATAACCGTGGAAATTCCAAAGAAACAATTTCAAAATAATTTCAATGTAGACTCCTATGCCTTTAAGTAAGCACCTGTAAGTTACATATCTTAAAGTCTTACCGTATTATATATTAAAGGTGAGAGACGGGCTAACGAGTGATGACCCTCTGGTGGGCAAGTACTGCGGAAGTCGCCCGTTGACCTACTTTGTGTCGTCCAGTAACATGGTGTACATCAAGTTTTATACAGACGGCTCTGTGGGAGGAAGAGGCTTCAATATTTCCTACAGACAGGTGGATGGTAAGTGTGTGTGTGTGTGTGTGTGTTTTAAGAAATATAAGTGTTTATGAAGGAACATGAAAAATCATACATTTCAATACAAGTTCATAAGTTGTAACATTTTCATGTACCTGCTCTCATGTCAAGTTGACCTGTCATCCAGTGAATGTATATACAGTAAACTATTTGTCATTCTTGATCAGTTAATTCTGACTCTCAACTCAGCTTTATTTCAAAATATTCTGCCGTATTACAGAATAAATAAATATATTGTTATATGAATGAAGTTTTATTTCATTTAACTTCCAGCACTCTGTGGAGGAGTCAGAACAGCCATGACATCCCCGCAGACGATATCCTCTCCTAACTATCCCAACTCGTATCCACACAACCTGCGTTGTCGCTGGACCATTGATGCTGGTCTTAACCAGCAGATTGATGTCAATGTGACAGACTTTAATGTAGAGAACCATGCGAACTGCCAATATGACTACTTAGAGTTACGAGATAAACCTTTGGTGAGTGAGAGAAGGCTATATTGCTTGAAATTCCATTGCATTATGACAGAATTAATCTTTTTTAGTTGTTTTTTCTTTCTGTATCTTTGCATTGCAAGAGCAAATACTTAACAGTTCTGTACACACATTCATTCATTTATTCATTTGTTTATTTATTTATTTATTCAGGGAGACAATGGCCAGATCCTGATGTATTGTGGCAGTCAGTTACCCCCGTTGTTCACCAGTAAAGGGAGAACCATGCAGATTAACTTTGTCACTGATGCCTCAGCGACAGCCCCTGGCTTCTCTCTCACCTATCAAGTGGCTTGTGAGTTTTACACATTACATTGGAATTGAATTCCAGTTTCATTCATGATGTTTATTTTCATAGAGATGCCTATAAGTTTGTATAAGTTTAGTGATTCACTTGTTTTAAAGGTCATTGATTAAGTAATAGTAATATGAACAAAACGATTAAAGAAAAGTTTTTCTCCTAATGATCCAAATGGCTATTTTGATCTCCACCCAGGAGGTTGTGGTTTTACCTTTGTTAGTTTTGTATACGTAGGCAACAGCCTAACAAAAAGTTACAGGGTGGATTTTCATGAAATTTTCAGGATAGGGCAAAAATGGCCATACTGAAAATCAATGAAATTTCGATGGTGATCCATTGAATAAATAAAATAAATAAATTTATTGAATTGACTTGGCAGGGGTCTGCATTTGCCTAATGTGTAATCTGACAAATTTATTGAAATGAGTTGGCAGAGGTCTGCATTCGCTTATATAATTAATATGTTAACTGGTTCTAAATGATCTTCTCTATCTCCAGCCTGCAACAGAACTCACAGTGGCTCCACGGGACGAGTGACCAGTCCAGGGTGGCCGGGACGCTATCCCAGTTACTCTCGATGCTACGTCGTCATTCAGTCCCCACCTGGGACCTACCTGTCTCTATACTTCAACTCTTTCTACATTGAACCACACACATCTTGTAACTTTGACTATCTAGAGGTGAGTACTTATATAAGTCTGTGAAAGGTACTACCTATAACCGAGTTGCAATTCTTGTGAATGGCTTTATGGCTTTAGGTTGAAAAAAGATATATAAAATAAATAAATGAGTAAGATTAAATAATGTGAAATGAAAAGAAAAGGGAAATGATAAGATGAAATAAAATAAAAAACAAAGTAAAAAGGAGCAAAATACAATAAAATAAAAAAGCCTCAGTTTAGTGTCAATTTAGCTTTGTCTATTTGGCCATAAATTTCAGATTTGTAATGGTTCAAATAATGGTAAAATTTGCTTTCAGCTATTTGGCCATATATTTCCAGATTTTTAATGTCTCAGAAAATTAATTAATTGTCTTCAACTATGTATATTTCCAGATTCGTAATGGTTCAGATGCCAGTGCTGGTCTGGTAGGGAAGTACTGTGGTAACACCCTCCCAGACCCTGTGTTTGCTACTGGGAACTCTATCTGGATGTTCTTCCTCACTGATAACTCTGTTACACATCCAGGTTATGATATTACATTTGCTTCCAGCTCTTCAGCACCAGGTAGGGAAACTATAACCATGGCTGGATCTTTTCAATGAGCAAAATTATCAATCTTTTAGATACATGAATTTATATTTCTGTCTCACATTTGTGGTGCTTTTATTGTATAGAATATAGAACTACAGGGCAGTCTACTTTTTAGTTTTGATGCTTCCATGGTTATTAAAGTGGGATTGTTTTTAAGTCTCCAGATCTGGAGTTGGTAGTAGAATTTTTAATAGGAAAGCCTTGTAAACGTTCAGTTTCTAAATCTGTTATTAAGTTAAGGTGCACAATGAATAAAACATTGATTAAAAAACAATTAATTTCCAGGTTGTGGCGGTACCTTCAAAGACAGCTACGGCAGTTTCACGTCTCCACTGTACCCACAGCCGTACACCAACAACAGAAACTGTACATGGCTGGTGCAGGTGCCTGCCAGGAAGGTGGTTACCATCACCTTCACTGCCTTCAATATTGAATATCACGACAGCTGTAACTATGACTGGGTAGATGTGTATGACGGACCCTCCACCTCGTCCACGCGGGTGGGACGATACTGTGGAGATGTGAGTATTATACATGGTCTAAACATACAATAAATGAATAGAAAACTCCAAATGCAGATACTAAAATTTTAGTGCCAATTGAAAAGATAAAAAAACTTTAGAAACTGTTCTTTCAAAATTTAAAAAATATCACTTGATCTTTAATGCCTCTCTTCCATTTTGCAGTCAATGCCAGCCGAATTCACAGCCTCAGGTAGAGCAGTTACAATCTTTTTCCGCTCAGACCAGTCTCAAACCGGTCCAGGGTTTAGGATAGCATACAGTTCCTCACAGCCAGCTCTCATGCAGTCAGCAGACAAGTCTTCAATAGGGTGATAACTAAGATATTTAGATAGAAAGCACACCAGGCCTTCATGATATGATATTTTAAGTGATGACAAAAATTTGTGAAGCTAACTTAGATTTTTTAATAAAAATTTTATAAAGTGATAAACAGTGCACTGTCCAATTGAAGCAATGTGAACAATGTGTCAATGTATCCTTCTATTATACATAAATATAAATATATGTATTCTCTTATTTGTACAGAAGATGTATGTATATTCAGGAAAAGAAATGACCAAAGATAAATTTTCTGTATTCAAGATAAATTGTTAACAGTACTATAACCTGAGACTTATAATATATGATATGCCAGAGTGTGAAAATAAGTGAGACGTCTGTCCTGTTAAATGTATTGTGATTATTTTGTCACTGGTATTAAGTACCTCTGGTTGTGAGAATTCCATTTATCCGTCTATTACACATGGAGACATAATGTGAGTTAAGCAGTTAAGTACCAGATATTTATCTATAATAATAGAGGAATAGTTAAATGAATAAAAACAAAATGGCAGAAAAAAGGAAAGTAGAGGAAGACGCGATGTTTAAGAATGGAGATTGTGGACTTGGTTATTGTATTAAGTATGATCTATATTTTTACTGTCAGCATTGAAGATGAGCTGTTAAAGCTCTTCTACAGGAGCTTGCATTATGTCAAATACAAGAAGTTAACTGAGAAATTGCATTTGAATTAAATATTAATTCCTTTGTGGAATATCAGCACATCTTTCTACAACAGCAGTGTTTAATCTTATTTAAACTAATCATATTTCTATGGCTTTGTGGGCCCTTACAAACAATCATACCTATGGTCTTCGAATAACTTGTCACTGCTTTTCATCATATTAAATTTTCTTTTAGGTTCATTCTCGTCATTCTTTACATGAAGAAATCTAGAAAATGACATTTTTCAAAACAGTGAAAACCGTTTTACTGCTGGAAATTGGGAAACTCGACTATTATCGTCTTAATTTTTATATTAATTCTGGTAAACATTTTAATGGCCCTGATTCAAGTGTCTGTGGAAGGAGCTTAGAAAACAATAGGGAGAAATTCTGTCTTTTACAAAGGGAGAATTGATTAAGATGTGTCCTTTATGAAGTTAAGGGTCTTCTCTGTCATTACCACAAAGAGATTTGTTTGTAAAGAAATGGAAATCTATTGCATATTTTATTCTACAGAAGTCATCACAGTACAGGAGTGTTGAACAAAGTGTTTTTTATTTTAATGCACTTGATTTACTTAGTGCCAAATTATAGACGGACCAATAGTAGTTCTTATTTAGATTTTTACAGAAATAAATGTTAAATCATATCAGATTGTATGAATTGTATATTATATCAGAATAATATGAATTATAGATGCATATATATTTTGTAAATTTTGTCAAAATCTGATGACAATAAAAATCTAAAAAAAGTATTTGGAGTGACTGCTAGAACCGGTGTATACTGTATTTATGTTAATATACAAACGTACTTTTTTGCTGGTAAAAGAACCGCTCTGGGTAAAATGTGATCTAGATACACGAAGGTGTGTGGTAAAAAGTCCAGTTTTTCAGAAAAAGACCCTCTCCCCTGAAATTGCTGGTTTGATTTATGTGACCAATTTTCCTTCTATCTCTCTCCATTTCTTTTCTCAATCACTCTTGCACAGTAAACCAGTGTTGCAAACATTTTAGTATTATCTTATGTACTTAATATGCCACCAAAACTTAAAAATGTGGCTCGGGTAACTTTCTAATTTACCTCATACGGAAATGCCATGACGGGGAATATGAGCGCAGCAAAGTCACTGGTAGTGTCAAAATTATTTATTCAAACTTAATTTCAAGTTACCCTATCGTCCGCAAGGTCGACTATATCAAATATTAAAACGTGAACTATATTTGGAAAGTATTTATCTGTACTGCCTTCTATTAAGATGCCGTAAAATCGTTCTACGTGCTGCTACAATGTACACGTACAGCTAGTGCGTGTAGGTGTTCCACACATAGTTTATTTACTGGATTATGTATTACATGAACGGCGACAAGCTAGACAACGATAAAATGTCAAGCTTGCTTGAATGATATCTCTGTGAAAGGGAAAATATATTTTAAAGTCTTGAATCTGAAACGACAAACATTCGACTGCCACTGACAGCATTATACTGTACAATGCCTAGCTTCAATTTTAAACCCCCAATTCGGGTCCCACTTTCAGGGTAGAAGGCATAATTTTCATACTTCCGTATACATCTTGTAAAATTTTTCAACTCCTGCCCAGTGTATGGAAAAGGGATCAATAAAGATATAGATAAGCTTCATATAATAACAGGTACGTATGCCTGCGAACTTGACGGTTTTCCAATCACTGAACATGCTCATTTCCTGAGACATGACATCAATGTGCTCTAATAAAACGATCCAAAAAGCGACGGAGATAGCAGCTACCGACGTATAATTTTAGACGGGAGATCAAATTGAGTTTTGAGATTGTATTGGAAAGATGAAGGTTGGTTAAGTTTCCAATAATGAAATAGATGCTTTTGGTCTGATTTAGATGAAAGCGTAGGCAGAATGCTTTGATTCAAAATTTGACTACTTTATTTCTGAAAATAGACAAAGAAGACATCTTCATAATGTTTAAGCCTCACCAGCTACGAACAGAATATAACCCCCTGTTTTAAACAAGGCACTTGTAGAAAAATATTATATAGTGAAATATTACTCCACATCATAGTCACTACTCCAATCGATCAGTGAAAAAATGTCCTAAATTGGGTCATGTGGTTGGCCATTTCAGTGGCAATGACGACATGAACAGGATAATGAGACCTTCCCTCTGGTATCAGGGGTTCCTAAAATAGTTTACAAAAATACACTGTGCGCCATTCAACATCTTGTAACAGACAACTAGCGCACCCTGTAGTTAAAGAGTAAGAGTGAGCGTGATCAATAAGTTAGTTTTTTTTCAAAGTTAATGCAAAGGTGAACGCGTCGGTGGTCCGAAAGGAGAAGGTTCCGCTCTGAGCCAAGGTGTGTTCCTGCGGAACCCGTAAGGGCCGTGGTATCCGATGACCGGCTTGACCCCCTGCATGAACTGAGAGTGACCATCTACATCTTCACTGGAGTGACCTAAAATACAACAAATAAAACGCCTTATAAAATATTCGCTCGGACTTAAGAAAAGGGACATTTCAGAGTCCATCAATAACAGGATAGTTGTACATTTCTAGTAAAACTAATAACCTATTATTTCTACTTCAAGTAAAGGTATCGTCTTCTCTCCGCCTTAAAATATATGTCCCAAAATCGTTTTTTGTCTAATTCACTATCACTTTGCAAGTTATTAAGGCATAAAAATATAACTTGGGGAGATTTTCAGCAGCGTATAGTATATCTCTATTAAGCCAGACAACTCACCTGCTCCAAATTGGTTTCTAAGAACTAAATACTGATGTCCTGCACCTGCCTCGTGGAACCTGTCCATGACTTTGCCTTCTATTGAGCAGCCGCCATTTTCCTGGAAACAAAGGGGGGAAATTTACTTATAATCATTTCAAAGAAAAAGTGATCAGAGCTGGTTTCCTCTTCTCAATCTCCCCAGAGAGGACGCAGTCCAGTTGTCGTACTAGGCGAACTGCCACATCATAGTTACGTATCTATTCTTGCTACAGAAACATCGTGCGTTTTTACACTGCCATTGTTTTTCACATTTGTGATAAGACTGAACTCGGTAAAATAACGCCATGACCTGTTTGGTGGTGGTGAGTGGCGGGGGGGAGGGGGGGGGGAGATGTCAACATATGTGTGTGGGGGGGGAGGGGCAGCCTGTGTGGTGGTCATGGTCAATCTGGAACTCGATCTCGTGTGCATAACCAGCTAGAACTATTATATAATGTCTCTTTTTTATTACAACAATTACAATTACGACTGTGTGTGTGTGTGTGTGTGTGTGCGCGCGCTCACGCGTGTCTGTTTGTGTGTGTCAGAGCCCTTACCTGGTCATAAAACTTGAGACTCTGTGGCACGCTGTGAAACCCAAAATACGGTCTGGCATGTTTATCCTTCTGACCATTATAAGGAGGGACGACCGGTCCCACCTTGGGGTTGGCCTTAGCATAGTCCCCGGCTATACTTCCACAAGCTATATTGTCCCGTATGAACCCCTTCTCCATGGCCAGCATTTCCTCGGGTGGGGGGGTCGGGGGTGTGCGGTAGATTTTGTTCGCACGCGACTTCCTCGGCGAGCGAGGAGAGCGGGGCGCTGATGCCACGCTGTGTCGGGGACTGTCCCGTCTCGGGCTGCCTTGACGGGGGCTTTCAGCGGGCTTAGGACTCCCTGCCGTTGGACTTCCTGGGTTTTCCTCGTCTGCCATGTTTACAATTTGTCACGCACCACAGCTAGATTGACGAACAAATTGAATGGTTTTGTCCCGTATTAATCTTCCTGGGGCTATTTAATTATTCGGTGCTTTAGCTAAAACAGTGCCAATTTCAAAACGTGATCCTAGAAGACGCGCAAAAGGATCAAAGTGCTGCTTTGTCCCAATTTCAGCGTCCTACTCCGGGGAAGGTATCAAGTCTTAGTACTGCACTGTGTTAATGCACGCACTCGCATTCTGTGACGGTTGCTATGTAGGGGCGCGAGGTCAGGTCTCCATTATACTGCCATTGATCATTAAATAAATAAAGAATGCAGGCGGGGGACTGAACTAGGACATATTTAACCTGTTGGGTCCATATTTCACATTATGTGTGACTTATGTGTATATTTTAATGATGGCCGTATTATAATTTTCTATAGGTTGAGGGCAATTGGACCATGAATACATGGGCAAATAATTATTGCCCCGCCAAAAAGACAATTTATTTATCAGATTTACAACTTTTGTGTGCTGGCCTGATTAGCTATATATTTGGAGTGTCCCGTGTATATATAGACTCTAAAATTTTAATTTTAAAAAACATTTACTCTCTTAAATCTTTACGTTGGTATAAGAAAGGTATAAATAAAGATTTGTTCTGAAGAGAATATTTCAAATCATGTCTCTTAGCGTTACACACAAAGCCCCCTGAAGCTTGGTACGTCATGCATTTTTGAATCGGATAATCCCTTTTAACTGGCAGTATAACGTATCGTGTTTCCCCGCCTGGATCAATGTGGCCCATCCGCCGCGATAATGGCGTCTAGTTGCTATGGCACCACGTGACCTGTGTTACTTTCGCCCCAAGAATCAGCTGATGACTATACTAATAAACGATATTGCTTACTATTTACGTTTGTGTACCTGTATACTGCCTTTAAAGATCGTTAAGACTATGATCCTTCCATTATATAGAATAATGAGTTGCACCAGATGAATTAAACGGCAAGAAATTTATTTTACTGCTCATGACGTCACCCCTATACTCTAGATCCGATACTTCAAAAGCAATCATTTGTAAAGAAAAAGAAATCCATTACCCAGACAACATTTTATAAAAATTTTAATCAATATTATAAGATAAATATTGTTAATATGATTTTGTATTGCTTTGATATATATTTATCCTAATTTAATTTATAAAGATAATAACCTTTTTCTATAATATCTCACAAATGGCATTTTGACAGACATATGAAAATTGCATTAGTTGTGCTGTAGTACGGTGTACAGGCAAGATCATACTTTTAGGGATCATTTCTATAGTATGTATCGCCGGGACGTCAGGTAAAACTGATACCGGACTGTACACTCTGATGACGAGGTGCAGCATCCCCTTCTGAGCGCGAAGCGGGCTCCAGGTGCTACTTCCGGGTAGCTGGCCTGGGGTCATTGATGACCGTTCCGCTCTTCCATAAGTGGAGAGTTGGAGGAGGGGGATGCATTCAGAGGAGTGTTTTTTTTTATAAACAAAGAAAAAATAGAAGCCAAGGAACTTTAATTCTTTCTAACATCTCCTATACGTTGGCAGCGTCCTTTCAGCGTTCTTTGTTCCCATGAAACTGGCAATTCTAAGTTGTAGAAAGAAGGTACAAACATCGTATTAGTTGCAGAATGAATGCCAATGATCGGCCAGTTGTCGGCACGTTAAGATTTTTTTTACTCTCAAACAGGGCCGTACTACGGTACGCTGAAAGAACGCCGTCAACTGTAAAGGGGCTTGAACAACGAAGGTGAATTAGGAGGAGAGAGGGGGGGCGGACGGCGGGGACACCAACATTTTTGACCACTGGTGACACCAACGACACCCAATGTCGTTAGTATAGACTGCAGAATATGGCAGAACTATTTCAACAATTGCAGTAAACATTATTACTAATGTCAGTAAGCCATTAATTATCTGCTGGAAAGGGGCTTCCTTCGAAGTCTTAAAGATTGGTGATGAAAAGAAAACAAATTGAATCATGAACTGCCTGTTAAGATCAATTAGACCTTAGTCCGACCATTAAATATGATAACGAGAGGCATCAGAAGAAATAAAACGGCAAAAGTTTTACCACACCGTTCATGACGTCACTCCTAGACTTCAAAGCCGATATTTCAAAAAACAAACAATTTTATAAGAAAAATCAATAATAAGGCTAGGGTGGTTCTTAAAAATTATATTAATAATATAAAAGTAATTTAACTATTATGATGTTATATAGTACATTGGTAAACATTTCATGGCTTAATTAATAAAGATAATTATTTTTTCCTATAACATTTCAACAAAGGCATTTTGACAGACATATGAAAATTGCATTAGTCGTGCTGTAGTTCGTTAAACAGGCAAGATCATACTTTTAGGGATCATTTCTATAGTATGTATCGCCGGGACGTCAGGTAAAACTGAAACCGGACTGTACACTCTGATGACGAGGTGCAGCATCCCCTTCTGAGCGCGAAGTGGGCTCCAGGTGCTACTTCCGGGTAGCTGGCCTGGGGTCATTGATGACCGTTCCGCTCTTCCATAAGTGGAGAGTTGGAGGAGCGGGATGCATTCAGAGGAGTGTTCAAAAAAAAAAAAAAAAAAAAAAGAGTAGAACAGAAAACACGAGCCAAATACTATCGTCTACCACGGCGACGGCGACATCTTGATTTTTCACCAGATATTCACGCTAAATATGGTCAATCTTCTAAATGTGAACCAAATGACCGTCTATTTATCTAAGGACATATCTGTGAATATCTTGTGAAAAATCAATCTGTGACCCTAGAAGAAGGTAACCAAATATTATGTGGGCAGGCCACAGATGAATTATTGTGAGGGGAAGGGGGTCAACAACAGGTTCTACCACTAGTGACACGAAGGACACCTAGCGACGTCACTGTAAACTGAAGAATATGTCAGATCTATATCAACACTTTTAAAACCGAAACACTATATTATTAAAATGAAAAATCCATTAATTATCAGCTTGAATATGGTATCATTTGAAGTCCTAAAGGTTAGCAATACGGAAGGAAAACAAAAATGAATTTGTCACAAGGTCGTGCAAATATCTGTTGTTAATCTCACTATATTTTTCTCATGCAAGTTTTAAATGTCATTACCAGGCATTGTTTACAGAAGAACTTTGTACGAATTCAAATTCTCAGTTACCAGCAGGCGATCCAGGACCTCAGCTATATTAAAACATTTCCATATTTATACCCAATAAACCTTGTGAAACTGACGTCAGTCAACAATCACTTCATCAGCTACAAAATAGGTAAAATATAATGTGTACTCTGTATGTAGAATCATCATGCAAGACCAATGGGACCCTTATGTGATTTAAACGAGTACTACAAGTAATGTGTTGAAACATTGTACTAGTATGTGTACGATTAGTACATAAGAGAGCACGAGAGTGTGATTTTAATACTGCGCCAATATGCCCTTGGTGTATTTTTTTATTCTTCATAATAAAACTCTCTCTCTCTCTCTCTCTCTCTCTCTCTCTCTCTCTCTCTCTCTCTCTCTCTCTCTCTCTCTCTCTCTGGCCTCAGTGGACTTACTAGTTCGAGGGTCAAACGTGTCCGACCCACTTGTTTATTTCTCCATGGGGAATCTATTCAGCGTCTATAAGCGGATTAGACGGCAAGCTTTTTAGTGGGTAGCCATATTTGACCCGTGGGGTAGTTAGTCCATTGCTCTGAATGCGGCCTCTCTGTCACTCCCTCTCTCATTCTCTCTCTCTCTCCCCCTCTCTCTTTCTCTCTCTCTCTCCCTCTCTCTTTCTCTCTCTCTCTCTCTCTCTCAGGCTAAATATACGCATTTATCATAATCATTCACAAAGAGTGGCTAGCCACTGATGAACTCTTAACTCTGTACAAGAAGACTATTGCAATTATTTGTTTTATTATTATTTAATACTGTAACAGCCAGAGAAGACCTCATGTCAGGTAGAGGTGTCCTTTAATTCTGCTTTCTGAAATACTGGTATCGCCTCGTCCATGCGTATCTCCATCTGTTCACAGTGCACTCAAGCTACTATTTCTGCCCGCACAGCAATTTCTAGGGAATTATGATGCTTGGATTTTGTCTTAACTAGTCGTGTCATAATCAAAGAAATCCGGCTCACTCGCTGCCTGCACACCAATTTCTAGGGAATTATTTTTCTTGGATTTTGTCTTAAGTGATCGTTTCATAACCAAAGACATCCGGCTCATCGGCGGTACTTATTATCAACACAGTCGGCGTCATCTAGTGGAGACAGTAATTAGCCAAGACAGGTGCGACTGGCTTTAGTATAAAACTAGACAATAAGAAAGGAGACTTTTTATTGTGTTTCTCTCATAGCAAGCAGACCTCTAGGAAGACAAAATAAGACCAATAGGAGATGAAAACCAAGAGCATTGAATGTAAGTAAAGGTCATGGGTTTTGCTATGACATTAAAGGGTTGTTGGTGCTGTTGGTGGTGGTGATTTGGGGGGGGGGGGGAGGGGGGAGGGGGGGTTAAAACCCCCTTAGAGTGAATGAAAGGACGCTAGAATAAGATATTTTACAATCGAGTGGGGTAGTGGAGAGGAGCTTGAACTGGGGTGAAAATAATTCCCCCGTCCTTTACATGTAGACAACTGTCTCACAGGACTAATCTGACTTATCAAATGCGTGTAAGAGCGGATGAAGATTTGGACGGATTCTCTTGAGGACTGCTGTTATGCGCACTTTATTTTCTCTTCTGGGTAACGCTGAACAATTAACCTGCCCCAGAAGCCGCCCAGAACAGCCAGTTGGCTCCGGAGTTCTGTTAATAGATTACTTCTGCAACCTGAGTCACATGTCTACGAGACAAGGAAAATCAGGCAAATTGAATTTTAACTGGCTCTTTTGTATTTTGAGATTTCCGAGTAAAACCTTGGCGTGGAGGTAAGGAGCCCAAAGGGACACTTTGCACTCAGGTGCTTCCGATTCTAAATTGAAGGTAATTGCACAAGGAAGATAAATATATAAATTATCGCACAATAACGTATCATTAAGCTAGCTATTATTCCTTTTCATACTCAGAAAATAAACTGTTTAATACCTCTTAATAAATAAATAAATAAATAAATAAACCCAAGCACGCATACTCAACGCTCTAGAATCCAAGAAATAAGTGATAAAACGGCTATTTAGTAACTCGTTTCTCTTTAAAGACTTATTCTTTATTTAATGAGCATCCTCCTCTTCCGTGTT